CTGTAGTATCTATTAAACCTGAAGTTTTCATTGAGAACTATAGGTCTGTAAATAATCTTGAAACACAGCTATACAAATGTATATAATTTTATTATTGAGTAATAGAAATAATCCTTGTTTTCTTTCAAGTTGAAAGAAACAAGTTACAAAGTTCCTTGGAAACAAAGTCCAACGGAAAACATTCGCTTTTCGTTTTCACAGCACAAAGAAATGTATTGTGTTAGTATGAGAGAAAAGATGTATTGTGATTACTTATACGAGAATCACGTATTTGCGTTATTTTATGCATGCGTTTAACTCCCAGCCTTAAGCAACAAGCTATCAACGGTTAATATCTGCATTGCAGTTACAATTCACTTCGTTTACACATATCGCTTGTGTGTTTTCGTGTTGTAAGAAAAATTTTAAAAGCGAGAAGATATTTTCAAAAAGGTACTCAAACCCAATAAATTATACGAAAGATTGAGTAATCAATATTGCTGACAATCCTGGTCAATGCTTACTGAAAACTGTTTTTTATAATTTACGCTGCGTTATTTATAAGAAAAAAATGGATCAGACAAAAGTAAAAGTTAGATTTACTAAACTCAGAATTTTGTTGGATAATAAATGTATTTCCTGATTTTTAATTTCTATTTTTAGGACGGAAAATATTGTCAATAATCTTCTGGAGTAATCTTTCAAAATTTCGTGGCGAACCACAAGAATGTCGTCTGCTTTTTGAAAGCTTGAATAGCGTATAGATAATCGCCGTTTGGTTAATAAATGCTAATGTGGAAGTTTGAATTTGGAGCTTCTGTGAGTATACGTTTGCAGAAAAATAAGTTGAGCGAACACTTGGTAATACCTGGTGCTGTAAATATGGATGTGTATATCGGCTCAAAAAGGAACTCGCTGAGCCGAGTTGAGATTAGAGTCAGGTTAATTACATTCACTTACGCGCAATTATCATTGGGAAAGGTATAAATACATATATGGCTTAATTAGTAGCATTTGTATCTGTAAATCATTATTATCTCCCAAAAGTTCTTACAATCTAAAAATATTTTCTGCATTTAAAATTACCTACAAAAGAATGTTAAGCCGTAACAATACAAACTTAATCAATCTTTCCAAGCCCTAGAAATTTCAATCGTATTTTTCTTAATCTAAGTATATGTCCTCTTTGTTTCTGTTTTATATATAACTTCGTAGTTTCTCACATTCGGTTGATGGTATTCTCAGTATCCCTCTGTAGAACAACATCTCTTTCGTTTCAAGTCTCTTCTTCATTTTTGAGGATATTGACCAGCATTCACTGCCATATAGGAGATTGGATCTTACATAGCCGTCAAACACTCTGTTTTTTGTTTCTAAGGACACTCGTCAGTAGAACCACATCTCTGTCGCTTCAAGTCTCTTCTTCATCTGTGAGGAGATTGTCCAGCATTCACTGCCATATAGGAGATTAGATATTACATAGCCGTCCAACACTCTTTTCTTTGTTTCTAGGACACTCGTCAGTAGAACCACATCTCTGTCGCTTCAAGTCTCTTCTTCATCTGTGAGGAGATTGTCCAGCATTCACTGCCATATAGGAGATTAGATATTACATAGCCGTCCAACACTCTTTTCTTTGTTTCTAAGGACACTCGTCAGTAGAACCACATCTCTGTCGCTTCAAGTCTCTTCTTCATCAATGAGGAGATTGTCCAGCATTCACTGCCATATAGGAGATTAGATATTACATAGCCGTCCAACACTCTTTTCTTTGTTTCTAAGGACACTCGTCAGTAGAACCACATCTCTGTCGCTTCAAGTCTCTTCTTCATCTGTGAGGAGATTGTCCAGTATTCACTGCCATATAGGAGATTAGATATTACATAGCCGTACAACACTCTTTTTCTTTTGTTTCTAAGGACACTCGTCAGTAGAACCACATCTCTGTCGCTTCAAGTCTCTTCTTCATCTGTGAGGAGATTGTCCAGCATTCACTGCCATATAGGAGATTAGATATTACATAGCCGTTCAACACTCTTTTCTTTGTTTCTAAGGACACTCGTCAGTAGAACCACATCTCTGTCCTTCAAGTCTCTTCTTCATCTGTGAGGAGATTGTCCAGTATTCACTGCCATATAGGAGATTAGATATTACATAGCCGTCCAACACTCTTTTCTTTGTTTCTAAGGACACTCGTCAGTAGAACCACATCTCTGTCGCTTCAAGTCTCTTCTTCATCTGTGAGGAGATTGTCCAGCATTCACTGCCATATAGGAGATTAGATATTACATAGCCGTTCAACACTCTTTTCTTTGTTTCTAAGGACACTCGTCAGTAGAAACACATCTCTGTCGCTTCAAGTCTCTCGTTCATCTGTGAGGAGATTGTCCAGCATTCACTGCCATATAGGAGATTAGATATTACATAGCCGTCCAACACTCTTTTCGTTGTTTCTAAGGACACTCGTCAGTAGAACCACATCTCTGTCGCTTCAAGTCTCTTCTTCATCTGTGAGGAGATTGTCCAGCATTCACTGCCATATAGGAGATTAGATATTACATAGCCGTCCAAAACTCTTTTCTTTGTTTCTAAGGACACTCGTCAGTAGAACCACATCTCTGTCCTTCAAGTCTCTTCTTCATCTGTGAGGAGATTGTCCAGCAATCACTGCCATATAGGAGATTAGATATTACATAGCCGTCCAACACTCTTTTCTTTGTTTCTAAGGACACTCGTCAGTAGAACCACATCTCTGTCGCTTCAAGTCTCTTCTTCATCTGTGAGGAGATTGTCCAGCATTCACTGCCATATAGGAGATTAGATATTACATAGCCGTCCAACACTCTTTTTCTTTGTTTCTAAGGACACTCGTCAGTAGAACCACATCTCTGTCCTTCAAGTCTCTTCTTCATCTGTGAGGAGATTGTCCAGCATTCACTGCCATATATAGGAGATTAGATATTACATAGCCGTTCCAACACTCTTTTTCTTTGTTTCTAAGGACACTCGTCAGTAGAAACACATCTCTGTCCTTCAAGTCTCTCGTTCATCTGTGAGGAGATTGTCCAGCATTCACTGCCATATAGGAGATTAGATATTACATAGCCGTCCAACAGTCTTTTCTTTGTTTCTAAGGACACTCGTCAGTAGAACCACATCTCTGTCGCTTCAAGTCTCTTCTTCATCTGTGAGGAGATTCTCCAGTATTCACTGCCATATAGGAGATTAGATATTACATAGCCGTCCAATACTCTTTTCTTTGTTTCTAAGGACACTCGTCAGTAGAACCACATCTCTGTCGCTTCAAGTCACTTCTTCGTCTGTGAGGAGATTGTCCTGCATTCACTGCCATATAGCAGGAACGATATTACATAATAGTCTATTAGGCTTTTTTTTGTTTTTACGAAATTGAGATTTTTAGAATTTGGTCAGATCAGAGGGTAATATTCAGGGTTTGATTGATAAGTGTGCTAATCAATTCTTGTGCTATTTGCACAGATATTTACCAACAATCAGAAAGAGTTCCTAGGCAGATTGTTAACATAAAGTAGAAGGGAGGTAGGGCCAAGTAGAGTGTATTGGTGTTTATGAAATAAAGATGGTGAAAGAAAACTTATTGCATTTATTGAAAATGGGACAGCTAAACTACCGAAATCTTTCCCAACAACGAACAACGATATGTCCCAGGAACTTTTAAAGCACTTCAAGCGTAGCATTGGTTTATAAAATTTTATGATGAGGCGGTTAGCTGTGGTGACATGGCGTGAGCTTTACTGCGTTTGATGACAACTAATTGATGGTCATTATGGAATTGCGGCCCACACAAAACAGGTGGACAATTCGCCGAAAAAGTAAAAGCAGATACTTGAAATGTTGCCAACTTACATATGCGATTCGAAAATAAAAAAAATTAAAAAGCACTGTATGTAAAGATGAGGAAAACATCTTATTTTGTAAGTCGATGATTTTTTAAGCGTTTCACCCCAGGCAAGGCGGGAAGCCACGAGCACGCAAGGGGTTACAGAGTTGGAGTTAGAGCAAAGAGGAGTGATAGAGGAGAGGATGACGAGGAGGATAGGGGATAGATCAAGGCATCTGGAGACGTCGATTGTCATTACATTTGAATAGTTGACGATTATAGCTACCAGGGAAACATGAATAGGGAAGGGAGTTCCACAGGTGAGAGGTGCGAGATATGAAGCTATTGGAGTAGAAGAGACAGCTACATTAAAGTTTCGACAGTGAAATGGTGTGAGCGAGATGCCAGCCTAGTTGAACGCTTAAATTCATGAAGTCTGCGAACCAGCGAAGGCAGCTCATCGGAGCAGTTACCATGAAAGTATTTGTAAAAAAGACAGAGGGAGGAGAGAGCACGTCTCTGATAGAGCGACTGCAGACGAGATGCCAGATCAGGCTCAATTATATTGCATATCCGTCTCGGGATTTTATCAAGGACCTTGAGACAAACAGACAGCAATACCCCATGCAAGGGCGAATAGTTGATTTGTAGATTTGAAGGATCAACTCCGGTGAGAAAAATTTCCTGGCGCGGCACAGGGAGCCAACTTTCCTAGCGGGGGACGAAGCTATTGACTCAATGTATTTGTTCCATCGCAGGTCAGCAGTCAACGTGAGACCGAGCAGCCGCAGAGAGGTGCTCTCGTGGATTTGAGCGTCAGACATTCTAATGGGGGGGACGCAGGGATGGTTCTCTGTGGTGAGTAAAGACAGCAGTTTTGTTTTTGAAGCATTACAGTTAACCAGCCAATTCCTGCCCCAGTCCACAAGATTATATATATATATATATATATATATATATATATATATATATATATATATATATATATGCATGTGTGTGTGTGTGTGTGTGTGTGTGTAGATACAGTCTCACTATGCTCTTCCTTGTGTCACTGAATTGTGTACAGTTTCTTTCCAGGCTTACGATTTGCATATCGGCACCATATATCTTTAATTTCGGTTTATGAAAACTCATATTCACTGTGAGTATTTCTCATCAAACA